TGGCAAACTCCCCGTGGCATACCCAATATGCCAAATACCAGTAACAATGAAGGGTCTCATTCTCCTAACTCTGAAAGAGCTTGAATATGGCACTTTTTTCAAAAATCTCAGGGCTAGGACAAAGGAGACTTTACTGGGGCCTGCTCCAGGCAATCGACGAATAACAGGATGGTTGTAATTGTTGTGATTGTGATTGATCCAAAAGTAATGATGAGCCTAGGATCCTGCTAGGGGTGGGAAAGACTATCTGGCCTGAGTACTGCAGTCTGAGATCGAGATGCCCGTAGGAGGGTAATTCTGTAAGTTTAAGATATTTCTTACTGTATCCATACAAAATGATTAATATTATATATGCTTATATGTTTGCTAGACAAGGAGAGGAGAAACACACCCAGGAGAATCTGCTCTAGGGTGGATTGATCTGATAATGAGGATCTGTCCTAGGAGTGGATGTCCCCAGGGAAAGAGGGAAAGAATTCTACCCCTACTGATTGTGATTACACCTATGTGTAATGATTACCCCAACCCCTCATGCTTTGGGATTTAATTGTACTGGAAGAGTGGGCTGGGGGTAAGAAGGAAGGAGAAGTGGAGCAGAAGGAAGAGAAAGAGGGATCAGAATAAAGACTCCAGAGAAGGAGGGTGAAGGGGGATGGAGAAGGAGAATGAAGTACCATGGGGGAGGAAGAAGCGGAGGCAGAGGCGGAGAAGAGAGACTGATGTGGATGGAGAGAGGATTGGAATAAACTGTGACTAAGACCAACCAGTCTGGCCCTCTTTCCTTCCTTTGCCTGCCCATCGCCATCGACCTCCCAGCAGTGGGGGAAGAAGGGTGAGACTACCGAACGCCAGCGGTGGGAGAGATTGAGCCACCATTGCAGTGTGCAGTGCTCCTTTCATGAGTTTACACAAGTAGAGCCAGTGCTCCTTCCTGAAACAACACTAGAGACAGTCAGCCCAGAAGGCCTAGACACTCCTCCCTGCATCATATCATTTTTCACTTTCCTCCTCTCTGTGGACGGTGTGTCAGACGGCACAACATCATCTTCTCCCACCTATAATTCCTGAGAATCAGCAGGAAGTTCCATGCAAAGATCAGTGAGCATGATAGATGCACAAACCCCAGGGCCCTGACCAGAAGTTTCTGCTTTGGAGTCTGAAATTGCTCTCAGGGAGGGCAGGGCAAGCAGCTGACCTGCTCTCCTATCTCACGGGTCATAGTTCCACTTGAACTGAAAATGTTATGATATCTAAACATATAGTGGAACAGAGAAGAATTAGGCCTCGGGCCAGAGCAACAGCATATTGGGGAGAGCACTTGCCTTGAAGGCAGCTGACTCTGGTTTAATCCCCCACGTCCCATAGGATCCCCCAAGCCCACCTGGAGTGACTCCTGAGTGCAGAGTCAGGTTACTCCAGTACCCAGAGTACTGCTGCCTGTGGCCCCAAAACAAAAACACAAAAGTAAAAAGTGAATTGTGTAGTTAATCAGAAAAAAGAACACAACTCTCTTTACTTTACCGAGCATAAAAGCATTTTAATGATGGCTACAGAGATAGCACAGATCACAAGGTGCTTGTCTGACACACAGGTAACAAGGGTTCAATCCCCATCACCCCACAGGATCCCCAAACCTAGAGCGATCAATGACAACAGAGCTAACGGTAAACTCCGCCGGGTGTGGCCGACCAAAAATAAATTTAGGTGCCAGAAATACATTCTGGTAGGGTATGGGCCTTGTACACAGCTGACCTGGGTTTAGTCCCTGGCACCACACAGGGTACCAAAAGCAGCAACCACAGGTTATGACCAGAAAAAAAGTTTTTGTTCATGAGTCAACCTCCACCACTCAGTTTTGGAGAATGCAGGTCAGACTTGGGTTTTGGAGCCAAAGGTGGCAGATCTTTGGGCTCACCCACGTGGTACGTGAGGAATCCTGTGTTGTGCACGAGATTGTATCGTGTCGCAGGCTGCTTGCAAGGCCAGGGCCTGCACCCCTGGATTATCACTGACCCCAGGAATTCAAAGTCTATGTAAGTACTGTGAATCTTATGAGAAGGATACAGACAGAAAACAGGGATGAGGCCCAGCTGGTAGAGGTCCAGGCAGGGCTGCTGCCACCTGGGGCCTCCCGGTGCACAGCTGAGCCAGAAGTACTAACTGCAATTTCAAAGGCTTACAGGGGCCAGAAAGAGCACACAGTGAATGGCAGGGCACTTGTCATGCAGACGACAGACTCAACTTCACATTCTGAATCACCAAGGAGTGATCCCAGAGCACTGCTGGGTTTGACAAAAGCCCACACAGCCAATCCCCCTCCTGCCCAAATAAAGACAATGAGGAATTTATCTGCCAACAGCAGAGGTGTGAAATCTAATAATATATTCGCAAGGGTCAGTCCTTTCAGTTTTTTGTTTTGTTTTGGGACCACACCCAGAAGTGCTCAGAGCTTACAGGCCAGGTTTTCAGATTATATTTTTGTTAGTTTTTTTGCTTTTGAGTTTTGATTTTAGGTCACACCTGGCTATGTGCAGGGGTTACTCCTGGCTCTGCACTCAGGAATTACCGCTGGTGGTGCTCAGGGGACCATATCGGATGCTGGAAATCGAACCCAGGTTGGCTGCATGCAATGCAAATGTCCTACCCACTGTACTATTGCTCCAGTGCCATGGTTTTCAGACTGTATGATTTTACTCCTATGGGTACGTGATTTTATAAAACAAGAAGGGGATGAAAAATTACACTTGGGGCTGGAGTGACAGTACAGCGGTCAGGGCATTTGATTTGCACAAGGCTGACCTGGGTTTGGTCCCTGGCATCCCATATGGTTACCCGAGCACCACCAGGAGTGATTCCTGACTGCAGAGGCTTAGTGCAGAGCCAGGATAACAACCCTTGAGTATCACCAGTGTGACCCAAAAAGCGGAAAAAAAAGAAGAAAAATTGCATTTATCCCAAATGAAATTTTAAAGTCCATAATTTTGCTCAGAGCCTCCAACTGCTTCCTTTCCACCTAACAGCCTCTTGTTCAAAGGACTCAAGAATGTTCATATCTAAGAACTTCCAATTAAGGTATGAAAAGAGGAGTAAGAGGGAACACAGCAGACTGAAGCAGACACTGTCCAACTGAAAGCCCAGAGGGCCTTCCCTGGTACCCCTTATCCACTAGTCCCCTGGCAGGGCACAGAACTCAAGCACTGCCACGTATGGTCCCAAATCTCACCTCATCTGCTCCCCAAGTAGTGAGATAGAACCAGGGAGAGGAGCTCAGTGGGCAAAGCACCTGCTTTACCTTTGGGGGACATGGCATGGATCCCCCTGCATCCCAGACACACAGAGATCGGGGGACAGACTCTGACTATCTCCAAGTTTGTAGCAAACAGGGGAGGAAAAGATAGGAGAAATACCCCAACACCCAAAAAGAAGTTCAAAGAATGCTCGTGTGTCAAGTCAAATTCTGGATTAGGAGGGTTGCGGCCATACCTAGTGATGCTCAGGGGAATCTATGGCATGTCAGGGATAACCCTGGTCACTGCAAGAAAGACAAACGCACTCCTGACTATACTACTGACCAGCCCCTAAGAGTGAGACATTTAAAACCTATTGCAGCTGGTCCCTGAAAAACCCCTTTCTGCAAGTACTCACTTCAACAGCAGGGAACGCCCCTGGTGTGGGAGAGATGGACAGTGAGGGATGCTTGGAATCTTGACAGGTGAGGCAGAAATTCTTTTCTGAGGAAATATAATGATACAGGGTTAGCAAAGATAGTAAGTTGATAGGGTGCTTTTCTTTCAAGCAGCTAAACCGGGGTCAATATGCAATAGTGCATACGCTGAACCACCCCAGCACTGTTAAAAATGATGCCTGAGCTCAGAATCAAGAGTAATCCCTGAGCACCGAGTGGTGTTGTGGCCCAAAAACTACAATAAAATAAATTATAAAGGGATTGGAGAGATCGTATTGCAGGTGAGGTGCTTGTCTTGCACTTGGCCAAACCAAGTTTGAATCCTGGCATCCCATATTGTTCCCTGAGCCCAGCCAGAAATGATCCCTGAGTGCAGAAGGAGAAGTAACTGAGTCTTGCAGTTCTACTCCTCCAGACCAAATAATTAGTTCATTTAAATGAATAAAGGGGTGTGCCCAATATTGATGTGAAACTGCATTATTAGAGGGTATAGGAAACACTCTAGAAGTCTCTGTGCTACTTCCTGCTGAGATTGCACACTTGGTTGCAAGACCTGCTGTGGCATACCACAGCCCTGAGGCACCCCCTGCTGATCCCCCTCCTCCCAGCCCTGAGTTGTCTTAAATCTCTGCACCTAGGGGCCTGAGTGACAGCATAAACAAAAGAGCATTTGTTTCAAGGGCAGGAAACCTGGCTTTATTGCTGGGCATCCCTTATGGTTCCTGGCACCACTAGGAGTGCTTGCTGAACGGAGAGCCAGGAGTAACCCACGTGCATCGCTGGGTGTGACCCAAAAAGCAAAAATTAAAAAAAAAGAAAAAGTAAAGAGAAGCTCCCCACCGCCCTGTACTCCCAGAACCCACTGAATGCACAAGGAACAAGTGAAAAGCAAAGGATCTGCCAAATGCTTTTGAGCCCCAAGCACAGAAATGTGCCCTGCCCCTCCCCCCACCCACCCCATCTCTGGCCCCGGCTCTGGGCTCACTCCAGGCTGCTACCGGGACGCTGTGGGAGGCCGGGATCGAACCCGGCCGGCAGCGTTCTTCCCTTACGCATCTCTCTAAGTTCTCCTCAGTAACAACAACCTTGTTTCCCTCAAAATCATTTTTTAAATAAAATTTAAAAGCTGCTGCTTTCGGCAGCAGCTCTCCGTGCATCCCGGATGAGGGGCCGCCACCCAGGGCCACCGCCACGGAGCAACCCCACCGCCCACAAGGCGGAGAACGAAAAGTTCAGGCGCTCAGAGCGACCACTCAGGCGGCCAGCGGGAAACCGACCTTCCCAGACCCCGCTGCCCCCCTGGGTGCCCCCTCACCCGCTCCTCACCTTCCGCACCTATGCCGGCCACCAGCACTTCCACCCCGACTTCCGAGATGCGCAGGGAAAGAGGATCCCGATACTGTGACGTCATCGGCAGTGCGCCCAGAGCCTTAAAGGGCCAGGCTTCAAATATTCCTGACCAGGTACTTGCATGGTCAGAAGATTCATTTTTCCTGTTTTCTAGGATAGGATCAGGTGATCAGAACATCTGCTGTTTGCCAGGTCTGCGATAAATGGAGAGTGATCGACTGAACAGATAGTGTGTTGATCAGAAGTCTTTGTTTTGACTAAGGGAATAAAATTCACAAAGATACTTTGCGAACAGCCAGACCATCTCTTTGAGTCCCCACGTTCATTTCTATCGCACTGAAAGTCCAGGTCTGAAGTAGCTTCAGCTGTTTATTTTCACAATGATAGGAGAGAGTTAGAAACTATGTAAATCACGTGGCTCAGAAAGGGGTCAGGGGTAGCCCAGAAGGGGACTCGGGGATTGGTGATGACTGGGAAGATATTTGTGTAAGCAAAAATTCCTGTGTCTGTATTTGTGTCTATTCAGAGCAAAGGGTGCTCTCCAGTTATTCCGTGAGAGCTATGTGCAGCAACTCTTCAAACAGTGCTCAAGTTCTACATGGCCGTGATTCTACATGGATCAGACAAATGAACGGAAAGTCCCTTAACTGCTGTGCAGCTAAATAGTCTTTTAATATTTTAGTACTTGATGATTTATTAAGCTCTAATTCTTCAAAATTTGAACCAGTAAGCAAGAACAACTATATAGCAGTTGTGCAGGAGACGAAAGCCTCTTTTATAGACATGTAGATCTATTGTTTGGCTATGATGATTTGGTGTTTGTTACAGTAAAAATATGAAATTTAGTTTACAAGTTTGCTTCTTAGAAGAATTATTCCATAAACATACTCAATTTCTTGTAACCACTCCACTAGGGTGCCAGATCATCACAGTGTGCAAATAGGAACGATAGGTAAGGGTTCCCCCAAAGTGAGGTAGTAAACATCAATAGATGATTTATTTCTGCATTCACTTTTCTTTGCTTTGGTAACTATGCTTACCTCCCTATGCTTATATAAATTTATGGAGTACCAGGATGTGGGTCTGGTGAAGTTAATTTTGTGGATGCTTATGAAAAGGACAGGTGCATCAGGATGTGCTTTTTTCTAACCAACAGACTGTGCTTCTCTTGGAGGCTGCTATTTTGGCTAGCAGAACAGCCTGCAAGCTGGTCTGAACAAACACTCCAAATGTTGGAGTTCATTCGAGATTTGCCCCATCTTCCCACTGCCACACTGTCCTCCCATTGTTCATCGATTTGCTCAAGCAGGCCCAATAATGTCTGCATCTTGAGACTTGTTGTTACTGTGTTTGGCATATCTAATACGCCACGGGGAGCTTGCCAGACTTTGCCCAGCGGGCGAGACACGCTCGGTAGCTTGTCAGACTCTCCGAGAGGGGCAGAGGAATCAAACTCAGGGCAGCCTCAAGGGCCACATGCAAGGCAAACGCCCTACCCACTGTGCTATCGCTCCAGCACAACTACTACACTATTCTATTGGAAATATAAGTGTAAACATTCTAGGTTTAACATTGGTATCTCCAGTCTTCCTTGCCATATGGAGTTTAGGTTTATTGGATTACACCCATCAAAATGCTCCTGAGGCACACCCATTCCTCTGTTTCTTGTAATATAGCTATAAACACTTTAGGTTTAACATTGGTATGTCCTTCCTCCCTTGCCACAGGGAGCTTAGGTTTACCACAGTGCTCCTGAGGCACTCCCATTCTTCTGTGTTTCTCTGTAACTTCCTTCTCTGTGATTTGCTTTCCCAACTGGCCTGTAACCTTTTTCTCCTAATAAGACTCTGTTAATTTGTAAGGTCTGAATCCTCAGAAATCTGAGTGAAAAACTGATTTTCTCTTCTCCTTATGTCCTTTGCATAGTTACTTTAGAGCAATGTCCTTTTCGTATAGACATAGGAAGATAGTTAATACTCTGACTTTGTAACTTGGGAGTTAATTGACTCCAAATAATACCTCATACCTGGATATCTGCTTTCTCAATATAAGCCTCAGTTGCCCTTAGTTCCTAGCACACCAAAGGAAGTGTACTTTGTACAGTGTATAGTGTACGATGAGGGAATGGATGGACCCAGGGATAGATGTGAGGTACTCTGTCATTGAAATGGGCCAGACCAAAGCGCCAAATAAATTAAGAGCATGGTCATGGACAAATTCTGTCATGATCCAAAGAGCAACAACTAGATTATGACCATGCTAGTGTTAAGAAAGACTGATATTGCCTAAGCACCGTAGTCTGAGATCTATAGTAAGATGTCCCAGCTTTATGTATCTATTACTGTGTCCATACAAAATGACTAATATTATTAAAGAATAGAATTAAGATGAATGTTTATATGGTTACTGGACAAAGGGAAGGAACAACACAACCAAAGATGGCATTCCGCCTTTAGGTGGGTCTTTGTGCTGAAAAAGTTTGTCCTAGAAGAAGCTTCCCCCAAGAGAGGGACCATACATCCATTGATTGTATGACCATGGCTATGTATAATTGCTACCCCAAACCCCTAATGGTTTTGGAGATAACTAAGGCTGTAAGAGTGGACAAAGGAAAAATCAAGAGAGAATTTGAGAGGGAGAGTCCAAGAGAAATGAAGGAGATTCATGGAAAGAGAATCAGGAGAATTGAGATGAGCTTGGAAGAAACTGCTGAAAATGATATTCATTTTAGAAAGTGTGAATCTTCCCAGCTCAGGCCTATTCAGTGACTCTCTTCCCAAGTCAGATTACAGCTCTGCCAAATCCTGAAACTGTGGTTTGAGTTCTGAAATAAATCACAGCAAGTCAGGTAAGAATTATTTGAATTCTGGGTGAACAGGCCGAGCAGGTGGATGACATCTCTGTGGTTCTCACAGTCCAACACACCCAGAGCAAAGGGAAGATCCTTTGGGAGTATCGCCGGGAGGAGCTTGGCAATCACACACTACCCTTTTGGATTTTCTATTTGACTAGACCCAGGGATATCTGGGGATCATATAGCATACTGCGAATCAAACCCAGTGCAAGGCAAGCACCCTCCCCACTATACTATGACTTCAGCACAATCTAGTTTTATTAAGGGCTCACTCATTGACTTTTTAACATAAAAGCAAAAGAACATTTCATAATGGGTCAGAGAGAGAATAGCAGGTAGGGCATCTACCTTGCATAAGGCTGACAGGGGCAGGATTCTGAGCAATGCTGAAAGGAAACCCTGAGGACCGTCAGGAATAAACCCTTCGGGAACATCAGACCCCAAACCAAAACAAAACAAAATGTCTTCGTATACTCAAAAAATTGCTAATGACCTGAGGGCAAAGACAAGCTTAGTGACAGAGAGGGTGGGGTGCAAGGTGGTTCTGCTGCTCCTGAAAAGGGCACCCCAGCAATACAGGCTGTGCAGCCAGGCTTATTAAGAGAAAGGGGTACAAAGGACCCACATGGCTAATGAAGAAGAATGGAACAAGCCAAGAAACCAAAGCACCGGATCACCACAGGGGATCGAAGGGCCGTGTGAGTACAGCACAGATGCCTGCATCTAGGAGCCCGAGGCCCCCTGGGGTCAGCAGCATGTTTCACACACACTCAGGGCACACCCACGATGCCTGGGGCTCAAGCCTGGGAGGGTCCTCAGACACTCAGCTGCAAACACACCTCTCCTCCCCGGCCTCATGGCTCCTCCTACCAGCCAGGGGATTACAGCTGGCTTCACCCTAGAATACCCTGCCCTTACAGAATCAATGTAGAGACTAGTGACAATGAAAAGGCGAGAGGCATAGTCCATATGTCCGTGATATATCCAGCCAAGTTACTGAAAATACGCAAAGAAAACAATGTTCACTTTTGTTGCCTTGCACGCAACTGGTCCAATTCAATCCACGGATCCCATATGATCCCCCAAGCAAACACCAAGAGTGATATGTGAGTGCAGAAACCAGAGTCACCCCTAATATCACGGCATGGCCGAAAAATGAAACAAAACAAAACAAAATTGGACGCATACAAAATATAAAGTTAGGCGCTAAAAGATAGTACAGCAGTTAGGGCAGATTCTTCAACCACACATACCGGGGATAGGTTCTGAAATCAAACAAAGAATGCAATGTAAGAATTCACTGAATGCGGGGCTCGAGCGATAGCACAGTGGGTAGGGTGTTTGCCTTGCAAGCAGCCAATACGGATTTGATTCGCAGCATCACATATGATCCCCTGAGCACTACCAGGAGTAATTCCTGAGTGAAGAGCCAGAAGTAAACTCTGTGCATTGCCAAGTGTGAACCAAAAAGAAAAAAAAATTTATTAAATGGAACATAATTAGATGAGGTTGAGCAGGTGGAGAACATCTCCATGGTTCTCGCAGTCCACAGAGGCCCACAGCAAAGGGAAGTCCATTGATGGAATGGCCGTGAGCAGCTTGGCAATCCCCAAATTAGCTTTCTGAGTTTTCATTTTTGACCAGACCCAGTGATGACTGGGGGAACATATGTGATGTCCAGATTCAACCTGGGTTGGCTCTGTGCAAGGGAAGCACACTTGTGTGTACTATCTCTCAGCTCCATTTAGCTTTGTTATGTGCCCCCTCATTCAATATTTAAACATAAAGTCAAAAATATTCCTTAGTGGGTAGAAGAAAACAGCAGGTAGGGCATTTGCCTTCTAAGAGGCTGACAGGGGCTGATCCCTGAGCATCACCAAAAGTAACCCCTGTGAACAACCAGGAAAAACGGCTGAGTATTTCAGGCCCAAAACAAAAACAAAATCATTTTGTTGATATTATGAAAAGCCATGCTAATTATCCGATGGCAATGATAACATGACAGGGCTGGAGTGATACCACAGTGGGTAAGACATTTGTCTTGCACATGACTGACCCGGGTTTGATTCCCAGCTTCCAATATTGTCCCCTGAACACTGACAGGAGCAATTCCCAAGTGCAGAGCTGGGACTAACCCTAAAGCATCGCTGGGTGTGACCCAAAAAGAAAAAAAAATGATAAGCATGACAGTGAGGGAAGAGCATCCA